CGTGTAGGCCAGTGTTGTGATTCTGACCAATCCTAATGACACAGTGCTCTTAAAGGCTGGAGAAACTGTGTTTAAGAAATTGCTGTTGACTAAACGAATAATAAGCTTTAAGGACAAATTGGATCTTTCTTTACCTCATTTAGATTTCTTCCTCCCCCTCACTCCCTTGACTTTCCTTCCCCAAAGGAGCTCTCTCTGAATCAGAGTAAGAACTAAAATGCTCTCAACCTATGAAACTGCGTTTGTAAATGGCTGCAGAGCTTGGAGTTCTGCTTCCTTGGTGTTCAGTGGTTGTCATGGTCAGTCTGGCAGTTTTCCCACAGATAAGTAGTTGGGGTAATAGAAAAATATACTGGGTGAGATCCTTTAAGCTCTGAATTGAAACATATTTGTTCTCAGCCAATATCCCACAACCAAAGAGGCCAAGAGAACTTAGAGCCTGTGAATCTTTTATGGTTTTACAGTGGGAAAGGATTAATATTTTGTCATGTTAGGGGCAAACCGAATGGGAAACAAATGAGGAATTTAGGAAAAAATGCTGCCTGTATTCAGGAGAAAATCACTGGGCATGGAAATTAAAGTGATTTTTATACAGCATGAAAATGGCATAATCTGCATGCCGGAAGAGCTTTCCAGCCCTTTGGAGTAGTGGTTAAAAAGGTGGTGCTTCCCTTTGGGGTCCCCCTTGCAACACCGAGCTCCCTCACCCTCTGACAAGACTCCTCCTACAGGAGTCAGCAGGTGATGGGGAAATTTACCTTCCAAATCCTGGTAACTAACAGCTCATTTACATCCTTTTCTAAAAACATTTCTTTCATTTTAATTTTGTAAATGATTACCTAGTGAGAACTCATTTTATGACCAACCTGTATTATTGGACAAAATATTAATATTTAGAGGGACAGTAATCTTAACTAGTTTTAAGTTTTAGAACATAAAATGTAAGCATATTCAATTAATAAATTTTGCAAGTGAGCGTAATAACAGGATTGCTAAATTCCTCATAGATTCTCACTGAAATATAAACTCTGATTATTTCATCCTGTGGAATTTAATAGAGTATAAGCAGTGATCATGTCCACCCTGAAGTAACTAGATTGGGATGTCTTTTATTTAAATCCAGGAAGAGGAAGCATGGACACCTCTTGGCAATATACCAAATACGTATCTATATACTTATATTTTAAATAAAAATAAGCGAAAGCTTTGTATATACATTTGGTATGTGTGTGCTGATACCTTAAATATTAAACTATTCTGTAGTAACAGACTAGGTGTACTTAACATGTAGCTATTCAGCTGTGATTGGATTATTTCTTATCAAGATAAGTAACCCAAATGGTATGATCAAACAGCACGAATAGATCTATGAAGTTTCCCCTTGGTGTTTATAGCCCAATGAAATGGAGATCAAAAGAATAAATAAATTTTCTCATACACATTTTTTTTTCAGAGGTGTAATTATTTAAAGTATTTACTGTTATTTAAAGTATTGTTTAACTATGGGCTCATGGGTGAAAATTTGCTATTCCCTTCAGGCTCCTAATAGTATTGGCTTTGGGAAAGAGAGTGAAAGATCCATGACAATGACCAAGTCAATAAGAGAGGACATTCCTTCACACCAAGAGAATCTGGTGAAGTGGGCTCTGGATAATGGCTATGGTCCCGTAACGTCATACACGCGGGCTCCTGTGGCTAACAGATTTCATCTTCGGCTTGAAAACAATGGTAAGTACGGATTTTCGCCGTCATGTAAGAACTGTTCCCCAAACGAAGCTTTCCAGTGAGGGTCTCTGGTTTCAGCTCACATGGAGCTGTTTTCCTGTTGTGCATTTCAGTAGTTCATTTGACTGCTTTTTAAATGAAGAAAATGATCTAGAATTAAACTAGATTATTTGGGAGAAACTATCTTTAATATAGATTTTCAGCTACATAAAGTTGATGGCATGTCAGAGAACTTTCTTACAGATCACCTTTACTGGGATTACGTTAGGAATAAATTAGCTCAACTTATCTCAAAGGCACCTAATGACCACTGAATGGTTGAGGATATAGAGAGGTGAGAACTGCAGGAAAGAAGTCATGGTCAGAGGCAGCGGCAGTACCCAGTACCGTATAAGAAGGTAGTAATGACGGCTTGCATTTGGGCTTCCTAACCTAGGAATGGGGAGGAGTTACGACCCCAGTTTGAGGGAGCAGAAGGCAGAGGCTCAACAAGTTCTCGAAGGTTTCTAGGGTCTTACAGTTAGCATGACTTCAAACCCCAAACTTTCTGATCCCCTGACCTGTTCCTCACCCTGTGGCACTATACTCAGTGTAATGCCAATAGAATTAATTTAGGAGTTCAGATTTAAGTCTCAACTCTGCCCTGTATTTAGTGTTCAGGGAGAAGTAGATTAACCCCAGAGCCTCAGGTTCTTCTTCAGTAGGAGAGAGAAAGTAAGTACCTACCACACTGGGTTGCTGTGAAGGTTTTTCAGGATTTTTGTTTATTTGTTTTAAAGACATTGATGTTTTGCTATCTTTTGTCACCCCCAGAGGAGATGAGAGATGAAGAGGAACATACCATCCCTCCTGAGCTACGGATCCTGCTGGACCCTGGCATCCTGCCTTCCCTAGTGAACCCACCCATCCGGGGAGGAGGAGGCCGAAATGGAGGTCTCCTCTTTCCTTTCCCTGATATCTCCAGGAGAGGCCGGAAGGAAGGAGGAGAAGATAGGGTCCCTCAGCCAAAAGACTCTGTCGTCCCCAGCCTACAACTGTTTCCTAGTCCCAGAGAGCCAGAAGAGGTGCAAGGGAGCATGGATGTGGCTCTGTCCGTCAAATGCAACAATGAAAAGATGATCGTGGCTATAGAAAAAGATTCCTTTCAGGTCAGTGCATTCTCTTAAAGGGGAGAAGAAAAGGCCACCTCCTTGCCTATCTTGCTCCTGTCTGTGTTATTATTTCCCTCCAGCTCTTTCACTGTTGAACTCTGGGAACTTGACACTGTTTTCTCAGTTGGATGGGCCTACTTCCCCTTGGCTGTGGTCCTCCCCTGGTTCCTGTTGTTCTCAGAGAGCGAGAGGGGTTCCAGATCCTTGTGTGTCAATATTTTGCTATTGAATTTCCAAGGCCAACAAACATACTCCATGAACTGTTGAGGGGTGGTCAGCTGGGAAGAGGCAAGTAGGGGAGGAGGCGTGCTGCAGGCCTCCTGCAGCCCACGCTGGGAAGATCAGGCAGCACGTGTTAACGGTGTGCAGCAGAGCTGCTCACAGGCCCTCCGTCACGTTTGCTGTGTGTGGTTTCAGGCCAGCGGCTACTCGGGGATAGAGCTCACCTTGTTGGATCCTTCCTGCAAAGCCAAGATGAATGGCACCCACTTTGTTTTGGAGTCTCCCTTGAACGGCTGTGGCACTCGTTACCGGTGGTCCACCCCGGATGCCGTGGTTTACTACAACTCGGTGAGTGTCCTCCAGAACATCGCCTTGCCCTTTGCCAAAGTCTTGCTAGGTGTTCTCTTAAAATTAGTTTTAGCATTTCTATGAAAATAAAGAGGGGTGAATACCCCAGGCTGCACAAAGCCAAGCGGCAATTTTCAGTGAAACGGGCTGTATTAAGACACTGAAGTCTTTGGTTTTATGTGCTTTATTCACGACCCTTTGGGATTTGGAAGGCCCTGTTTTCTCAGCTGAAGCTGTGGTGATCTCACCCGCCCCCTCCTTCCATCTCCTGATGGCAGAGGGTTTACTGGCGAGGTGATTATGACCTCTGTCTATGACCAGGCTGGCCTGGCCCTGCTGGGGATACAGTGCAAGGCTTGGGCTGTGAGTGAGCACCTCTGCACAATCAAGCTAACCAGACCCACGGTCCCTCCGGCCTCCTTTGATCCTTTTTCCAGAAGGACGTCTTCCATCCTTATGAATAAAGATTCAGAAAGAGAACTTAAAATCTGAAAAGGGCCTTTAAGACACTATTATTAAGGCTCCACTTTTTTTTTTTTTGAGAGAGATTTTTGCTGTAAGACTTGTGAGCTCTCCGGACAGACAGAGAAAGAGAGATGGAAAGCCAGAAATCACTCCCCAGGGGGGATGGCCATGCCCCAATCCCTTCTCTTCCATTCTCCTCTCAAGATCTTGGCATGCACGCACACGTGCCCGGCATGAGTTTTAAGTAACCGGATCCAGGATTCAAACCATGGTCAGCTACATGGGAGTCCAGCGACGTAACTATTACACCATCTGCTGGTCCCATTAAGTGTCCACCTCTAAGAAAGACCTTAAGTCGAAGACAATGGCTTACTTTACAAGTAAACTAGAGAAAGATCCCACAGATTTCCCCCAATGATAACCCATTACAATAGCTACTTTCACATTCCAAAATTATTCTTTTCAGTTCATCTAAATCTTTACTCTTCTAATTAAACCTGTTCTCTTCGTGACAGAGAGGAGAGAGTAAAAACAATTTTCCCCCCAGAGAGAAAGCACTCCTCAGTAGGGCATGGCCACACTGTAATCCTTCTTCCTCCATTTCTCCATCCTGCCAAGATTTGGGATGGGCAAGCCATACACCTGGCATGTTTTTCAAGGTGCTTAGATGGGGACTCAGACCATAGTCAGCCATGTGGGATCCAATTCCTGTAACCACTGGGCCACAGGGCCAGCCCAGAGGCAGTGCATATTAATTTTTTTTTTACTTTTTTTTTTTTTGAGAGGTTTTTGCTATAGGGTGCGTCCATTTGCCAGAAAGGCAGAGAGAGACAGAGAGATAGAAAGTGAGAAATCTTCCCCCAGGGAGGATGGCCACACCGCAATCCCTTCTTCTCCATTCTCCTCTTGGGATCTTGGGCACGCACATACACGTGCCTGGCATGAGTTTAAGGCATGGGTTCCGGGACTTGAACCGCGGTCGACTACATGGGAATTCAACGACATAGCCATTACGCTAACTACTGGTCCCGAGGCAGTGCATATTAAAAGAATTTCAACCATGCAATCCCAGAAGGAATTTAAAGTACTAACTTGAAAATTCAGGTTGTGCTTTTTAAAAAGATTGGTAGTAGTAGTATTAGTATTGCCAGGGGACATGTGTGCTGGCCAGAGAGAGACAGAAGAGGGGAAAGGGAGAATGTATTCCCCAGTGGTGCATGGTCGCATTGTCATCCCTTCTCCATTTCTCCATCCTATCACGGTTTTGGGCACACAAACACATGAGCACAGGGTGTTTTTCAAGTCACCAGGGTTGGGACTTAAACTATCGTCAGCCACATGGGTTCCAGCTCCCTTAACCTCTAGGCCACAGGGCCAGCCCTTGGGTTGTACTTTTGACAGTAAAAATAAAGCTCGGAGATCCACCTTTGACATAGTGTGTGTCTGAATGTTCTTAGCACCTAACCCCAGCTTTGACATGGGGCGGGATGGGCTTTAGCTGTTAGTTCTTTCCATTGCCACTTGACGGATACACTTGACCCACTCCAAAGAGGCTGATGATCAGGTGTTCTGGTCATTGTGGTTCATATGGGGAGAGGCTCTCCTGTGAGCCCAAGTTTATTGTTCCTCAGAGAATCTTAAAATGTTAGAGCTGGAAAGAACCCTAAGATGATCTCATCCAACTGCCTCCTTTCACAGGTGAGGAAATTGAACTCCAGGGAGTTTAAAAACAACAACAACAACAAAACTTACTTAGATTCAGGGACTGGTTAATACAGAGCCAAGACTGGATCAGCTTCCTGACCCTTCCACCCATTAGTCTTTCCAGCTGACCCAGCTAATCTCCATTTGTTACTTGAATAATTAATGTATTAATCTTTGACTTCCTGTTAATTACAGCACTAACCTTAACTACATAGTTCCTCCAGATACAACGAATGACATATATTACTGCTATACTTGATTTTGCCATTTTAAAATGGTGTCCAAAACAATAGCAATAAGAGACTATGGTAATCCGTCTGTTAAACAAACACAAAATATTGGTTGCTACACGAGAAAAAGGCATATCAGGACCCCTCAAAGTCTCTTCTTTCTCATATATTTTTATTTTCTTTATGATGAGATTCAAGATAAGAAATAGCCTAGGTACTTCAATTGCATCAGTACTTCTTTTTGAGGACCTTGTAAAGAAGAGAGAGATGGCTTTTCTTCACTCTCTTTCCATTCTACTCTATTCAGTGATTATTTCAATTCTTAGTACCAGTTATAATTACTTACAGTAATTTTTAGATTTACTCTACATTTTTGTTTTACATCATGTTTGAAAGCCAATTATGTCAAGTAAAAGAAATTAGGATTTTATTTATGGAGTCACGGTCCTTGGGTGACTTTTTGCATCTTATTTAGAATTAACCTAGGAATAATAATGTCAACCAATGTTAAGGTAGATTGTCCTGGGGTAAAGCAAGTTGTTCTTTTCTGCATCCATATACCATACAAAAAAGGTATTAAGGAAAAAGGGCATTAAAGATAGAGTTCAGATGGGCCAGCCAGTAGCACAGTAGTTAGGCAACTGGATTCCACATGGCTAATTGTGGTTTGAGTCCTGGACCTAGTGGCTTGGAAAACATGCTGAAACCATGTGTGTGTGGATACCTAAAATCCCATGAGGAGAATGGTAAAGGGATTGTGGTGTGGCCAATCCCAGGGAGGTGCTTTCTCTCTCAATAGGCAAGCCTATTGACCACCTCAGTCAAGCCTATTGACCACCTCAGTCAAAACCCCAAAAGGAGGGAGAAGGGATTGTGGCATACTGTCCCCTATGAGAGTTGCTTCATTACTTTCCTTCTCTTTCTCTCTCTCTGTGTGTGTGTGTGTGTGTGTCCTGTGAATGCCTGCGACCTCTGGCAGATTAAACACAAAAACAAAATACGTCTGTATTTCTCACAAGTGAAAATACAAACTTTAGTTTGAATCTTAACTTGAACTTGCATTGGGCTTCTCATGCTTTATCGCTTTGAAGATAAAATCCTAAAACTTGGAGTATTTATGTTTTAAAGTCAATTTTAAAAATTTGTGTCTGAATTATTACATAGATGCTCCTATAAGGGAGAACCAAATGCTTGGTGTTTTTATAACACTGGCTGTGCTTTCTTTGCCTTTTAGATTGTGATACAGGTCCCACCCCCTGGGGATAGCAGTGGTTGGCCAGATGGTTATGAAGATTTGGAGTCTGGTGATAATGGATTTCCAGGAGATATAGATGAAGGAGATTCTTCCTTCTTTGGCCAATCTGAAATTGTGGTGGTATGTGTCTGTTTTTAGTAGGGGATTCTGGAGAATGTTTTCTATGTGGGTGGCTTTTATTAGAGACTATCAGAAAATACAATTAGAAGATAAAGATCAAAGTTCATAAAAGTATAGAGCCTTCATCCTTCACATGACTGATTTATTTTGATCCATTTGAGATTTTTTTTTTTCCCAGTTTAATTGTAGCCTGAAGCAGGTGAGGAGTCCCAGTAGATTCCAGGACCAGCCCAATGGGAACATCACCTTCAACATGGAACTGTACAACACTGACCTCTTCCTGGTGCCCTCCCAAGGGGTCTTTTCTGTGGCAGAGAATGGACATGTTTTTGTTGAGGTAAGACCTGCACATTGGTCGTGGGCTTTCAGGTTAGTGCTGAGTTGTTCTTCTGACATTAGCTATAGAACCTTATATAAGCCCTCTTCCTGTTTCTCCTCTCCCCCAGCAGCCCTTGACCAGTGTGGGTGAGAGATTGGTTCAGAAAATACATCCAGATTGATTTTTGACCAAAGCAGATTTCAGGATTTAATACATTATGTTTATTGGAGAGAGTATTTTATAGATGAATGCTTGAAAAAATTGGCTATACCATATAAGTTCTAATAAAGTCTTGTCCTTTCTTTGTACTTACATTTTTGGAAGAGTAATTTAGTAATTGCAATGTCAGAGTTAACCATGGAATATGTAAAACCACCTCAAATTATGTCCTCTAAATTGCATTCACTTTGAGTGAAATGTAGAACACTATTTAAATTCTATAAATGTATAACAATCATTTTCTGTATAACAGTAATAATCATGCATAGCCTAAATATGGAATGACTACAAAATATTAGGTAGTAGTAATAGTGAAATAGCAACAATTAACATTACTACAGTTTATGTTCTACACACAGTTATAAATATTACAGCCATTAATTTAACTCTTTTTTTGTGTGTGTGTGGAGAGGTTTTTGCTATAGGGTGCGTGTGCTTGCCAGAAAGACAGAGACATAGAGACAGAAAGCAAGAAATCACCCTCCGGGGGGATGGCCATGCCGCAATACCTTCTCCATTCTCCTCTCGGGATCTTGGGCATGCATGCACATGTGCCCGGTGTGAGTTTAAGCCAGGGTCCAGGACTCGAACCACGGTCAACTACATGGGAGTTCACCACATAGCCATTATGCTAACTTCTGGTCCCTTAATTTAACTCTTTAGAGTGATCCCATGAGAATGGACTAAGATGAGAAAATTAAGGCACAAAATTGTCCAAGGTTACACAGGTAATAGCCAGTGGAGTTGTTTCAGAGTTCCTCCTCAGGTCATGTGGCTCCCGAGCCCACACTGTTACCCTCTGGTTGCCACTATCATTTATCCTCGAAATGCTATTTGAAAGAAGAACACTTGGGCTGGCCCCATGGCCTAGTCGTTTAAGGGAGCTGGATCCCACATGGCTGACAATGGTTTGAATCATAGCCTCGGTGTCTTGAAAAACATGCTGGGCATGTATACATGTGTGCCCTAAATCCCAGCATGTTGGAGAAGTGGAAGAGAAGAGATTTGGTGTGACCATACCCCATTAGGGGGTGCTTCCACCCTCCCTCTCTGTTTCTCTCTCTCTCTCTGGTAAGTGCACATGTCCTCTGACAATTAATTTTTTAAAGAAAGAAAACAACCACTTATCAGTGCAAATATCTGGGTTCAGATTGGATTCTAGAAAAGATAACTCTCTTTATGATACTAGGATGCCTACTATTTTTTGTGCTCTGGGCACAACTGTTCATGTTTCAGTTGGGCATCTTGTCTGCTGGTCTGGCAGGGAGGTCATCATCTGATAAGCTGGTCTTGGTGCTGAGCTTCCCTGTGTGAGGGGTGAAGAGCTTAAGGAGTTGAAATAGGATATGTTATCCATATGTTAGAAGTGACTTCAGTGCACATATTTCTATTTTGGAAAGACAAATAATTCTCACATCTGGACTGACTCTAGGGCAAAGCCTGCTGGCTGTAGTTGGTGTTTTCCTTGATCAGAGAGATTCCGCCTCATCTCTTTTTTGACTCCCTGTTCTGAGAGTTCTCTGTCTTTGGGCACATTGTTTTTTTCTGACTGGGGAATATGTATCACTTTTCTGTATTCTGTCGCTAATTATATTGGGTCGTTGGAAAAGTCATGATGCATTTTTGCACAGAAAAATATAGAAAAATACATCATGACTTTTCCAATGACCCCGTAGATCTTTCCTAATCCTACTGCCTCTCTTGGTGCACAATTTACATATGTATTTGGTCAGCAACTGCCTATTGCTCAATGGATTTTCGGGACACTACTTAAGTGAAGTTCGTTCTTTTCCAAATATGGGCCTGGCTTTGCTGATTTATGCTAATCAGTGGTCTTACCCTGGATAGTTTGGATTTTTTTTTTCTCCCCATTCCCACAATATTGGCTTACTTGAAATAAGTTACTAGTAGTTTTTTTCCCTCTGTTCTTGTTTTCCCATTTATACCTTTTCATATATCACATGTATTTTTAGTAGTTAAATTTGGTAACTATGAAAAAGGCATTGTTAAGTGATTTAAAAAAAAAGCGGACTAAATCTTTTTTGCAACCATTAAAAATATCAAGTATATTGAGGAGAATTTGAAAAGAAGGTGAAATTTATAAACTTCTTTATTTTTAAAGTTGTTTTAAGCCACATAAAGTATGAGAGAGAATCTATAAACGTTTTGCTAAATAGGATAGCAAACATGCTTAATTGTTATTTCCTAGTTTGGACTCTACTGCTGATAGGAACAGTTTTTACTTGGATTAAGTAAAACTTAATAAGTCATTAAATTGGTCTTAAGAACCACTTCCCGGTTTCTTCTCCTAGCTATTTTTCTTATCCCCTTCCAGAATCTTCTATTCCCTCTAGATCTTCTATTCCCTCCCCTTTAATCCAAAACATTATCTGTTTTGCCACCTGTTCTTTGATCATCTCTGGATGGTTATTGCTCACATAACGACATTTTTCCTTTTAGTCCATTTGCCTAGGGGAATTAAAAAATAAAACAAAAATATTGAGCTGGCCCCATAACTTAGCAGTTAAGGAAGCTGGATCCCACATGGTCAACCATGTGGCTCAAGTCTTGGTCCTGGCAGCTTCAACAACACATTGGGGACATGTGTGTGCATGTTCAATATTCTGGAAGGAAGAATAGAGGAGAAGGAATTGTGGTGTGATCACATTCCATTTGGAGGTATCTTCTCCCTCCCTCTCTGGCAAACACATGTACTCCCTGGCAATTAAAATAAATGTTTATAACCAAGGACATTCAAGTCTAGAATTACACTTCTAATAAGAAATTACATTTACTGACTGTCTTGGAACTTTGTCATTTCCGTGTAACTTCTCTGTTACTATTTCTCACAGTAACAGTGTCTTATATGTATTGCTATCTTTATTCTACTGGGGAGGAAACTGAGTCTCCCATTCCCACACTGTTGGTTTACTTGAAATAAGTTATTAGTAGGGCTTTTTTCTGTTTTTCATTCTTGTTGTCCCATTTATATCTTTTCATACATCGTCACAGCATGTGACCAACAAAACATCAAATTTCCTTGGACTTGTCTTACTGCAGAGCACATAATTCTTCTAACTCATTTCTGGTCCAGTTTAGAGTAAAAGATATATATATACACACACACACACACACACACACATATATATATATATATATATATATATATATATATATATATATATATATATATATATATATATATATATATATATATATATATATACACACACACACACTTTATTATTTTCTTTTCCTCCAAGACAACTTTTGAGGATACTCTGGACATTCTACCATTATACATTTTCTTTAAGTTATACATTTTTGCATCATGGGTTCTGAGTTCAAGGTCAAGATGCTGCGTTGTAATATTGCATTGTTGGAAAAGTCATGACACATTTTTGCATAGGAAAGCATGAAAAAATATGCCATGATTTTTCCATTGACCCAGTAGAATATATGTAATTTTCCATTTTTCTAAGATAGACTATCCTGTTTTTCAGAAATATTGCAAAAATGAGAAAGTGTTAATATTTACAGACTGTCACCACAAGGTGACATTCTCGTAGTCATCCTCATTAGTATCCTCCTGGTGTTCATCATCTTCATTGTTGAGTGTCATGTAGCTGACCATGTGGAGCTCTTTCACAACAGTGCTGTGGGTTTAGAGCCCCGTTCGATGTCAGGGGGTTCCCCTGGGTTTCTCAAAATGGAAAGTTTGTTTATATCTCCAAGTCTTTTGAAAGGAGTCTTGGGCTTTTTGGCCTCTGGGTAAGGACTAGCTTTATTTCTACAGTGTCGAAGTTTATTTTCATCCTAAGTTTAGTCAGGGAGCGAGGGATAGAGGGGAGGGGTGACTCACACAGTGTTTCATATGGAGTCACCAAGTGGAGAATCCAGGCAGGTCCAGGGATTTTAGCTGAGTTCAGGATAGTTGCGGTTTGAATTCTGTTTACACTTGGCTATATACTATTTCCTGTTTCTAAAGAAAAGAACCTTAACAAGATTTGGATATAGCTCATACAAATATTTTGTAAGAGGGAAGTGTAAATGAGTTGGAAATGTTTCCAGATTAGATTTCCCTTAAACTGTCTCTGTGCTGAAAGAGTGAGGGGAGAGTTTTTGACAAGGCTGGTTTGGACCTGAGTAGCTGGGCCACTTTGCCAGGTCCTTGATGGCCACCAGACTGCACCATCCTTGAGGTCTAGCACCAGAGGCCAGCTTTGCCTGCTTGTAGATGAAGCAGGACTTAAGATGAATCTATCACTTTACTGCAATGTTTAATTCATTGTGACTTATTGCAGTTTAGAAACTCAGTCTTCCCTGCTTAGGTTAAATAGATTCTGCTCTGCACTCTTTATTTTATGAGCACTTTTTAAGAAGAACTTGGCTTACAAGTGCGCTATTTTGATGTTAAGGGCTTTGCCTGTTGGTATTTTATTTATTTGGGGAAAATTTAGTCTTAAGGTGCATGGTGTGCTTTATTTTTATCTATCAGAGGATTTATAGAAAGTTGAAGAAACTTACTCATTTTGTATTTGAATCTTCCAGGTTGGCATTCGAACTAAATAATTGACTGTTACCTGCCATTTCCAGGTTAAATGGAAAATATTTCTTTCTCCAATGAGCCTATATTTATAATTAGAAAGAAGGTTAGGGCCAGCTGGTAGAGTGGTAGCTATGGAGCTGGGTCCCACATGGCCAGCTGTGCAGTTTGAGTTCCAACCTGGTGGCTTGAAAACCACTGGGCATGTGTGCCTGCATTCCCGAAGTCCCAAAAGGAGAAACGGAGAAGGGATTGTGATATGACCATCCATGGGAGTGCTTTCTTGCCTTTCCTCCCTTTCTCTCTCTGTCTCTTTCCAGCAAGTGCACGCACCTGCTAGCAAATTGGGGGGGGGGGAGAAAAGAAGTCTATAAATATGTTATGAAAATAAAGCAAATATCTTATCCAAAGGGCTATGTACATATTGTCCTTGTACCTAACTAAAAGTCAGATGCTAACTCATTTCTGAATTGACCTTTCTGGGTTTTGTTTTGTTTTTGTAGGTGTCTGTTACTAAGGCAGACCAAGAACTGGGGTTCGCTATCCAAACGTGCTTTATCTCTCCGTATTCGAACCCCGATAGACTGTCTGATTACACCATCATTGAGAACATTTGCCCTAAGGATGAATCTGTGAAATTCTACAGTCCCAGGAGAGTGCGCTTTCCTATCCCTCAGGCCGAGATGGACAAGAAGCGATTCAGCTTTGTCTTTAAGCCTGTCTTCAACACCTCACTGCTCTTTCTCCAGTGTGAGCTCACATTGTGCACCAAGAAAGAAAAGGACCCGCAGAAGCTGCCTAAGGTTAGTGGGCCTTCATCCATTTGAGCTGGTATTTTGGCATTTTTAGATGAGGTGGTAACCTACCAGAGAATTCGAATCCCAAGTTATTGCAGGTTGAGGGTTTTGGTTTTGGAACTGCCCGATCAGCGTAATAAACTTAGCGTTAGCAGGGAACTGTGAGTTTTGTGGAGCTGAGGAAAATAAATCCTGACAGCATGATTTTTTTTTCCATGTGTGCTACTTAGTAGTACCTTATAAGTGATAAATCAAAACTGTTTTCCGTTGAGGGAGAAGCCTGGCTTTCTCTCGCTGTTCAGATAGTGCGTGGTGCCAAAAGTACAGCGAGCTGGAAGGACAAGTTCAGTTTGAAGATTGATTTTTCCAGGTCCCACTGAGGCTTGTATTGCCATTGTTTTTTGACCTTTGCTGTGTGGATTATAAGGTTGACTTATCTCTGGAGGACTTTGCAGGGAAACTAACACATATTTTAATTTTTCTCAATTTCATATCAGTTTGTCATGTTTGCCTCATGTCACTCACATATTGAGCCAGTACATTCTGTGGTCATAACAGAAATCAGAGCCATTAGACCTTGCTGGAGTGGCTCCTGGGGGGAGGATCTTCAATGGATTATGGTATTTCACTGCTTTGGTCTAATGTAAAAAAGGTACCTTCGCCGTAGTTTTGTTTTTCGACCTGCCATAATTACATAGAATTCCATATGTGCACATATTCCTTAGCTATCTCATATACAGGACAGACTGGCTTCTAATCCTTTTGAAGTCACATATCGATCAATGTCTAAAAGGCTACACATCAAGCCATATTGTTAATACAATCTTTCCAAGTCTCTCCCTTCCCCTAGTAAGGTGATTTAGACTGTATCTATTCATTTGCTTTGAGAAATATGGTGCCTTGGCCTTGTGGGCATTTACCTCCCAGTAGCCATCAAGGATGGGACTTACTGGACAGTGGCAGAGAACCCTGGGGAACTGATTGCTTGCCGGGGGGACCCAGCTGCTTCCTGTGGGCAAAAGGATAAATTTTAGGAATTAGGAATCTAAGAGGGGAGACCTGGGAGTTAGCAGGGATCTTTGCTGGTGGCTTTGTCTGTTAGCTCTCTCCAAACTTGGCCCGGAACAGTCCAGCTTCACAGTATGTTAATCTGTGAAAATTATCTTAACATTTTCTTCTAGAACATTTTAAGGAGAATTTTAAGTCTCAGAGTATATGACATGATGGGATATGACCTTAAACCTCAAATTTGCCATTTACCCCCAAGCAAGTCTCTTAACCCTCAGGACCTTCATTTCCTCATCTATAAAATTAAATTAATAACACCTGGCTTCCCTCCTGGATAGAGGAGCTACTGGGACAGCAGACATAACAGCAGTCCACCATTTATATAGCAGAGACTTGGATAGATGACCTGTTACCACTGTCTTGCTGTTTGCTGTTTCTAAATACTTCGATATTTCCGAGAGCTTTCTATGACAATAGTGAGAGCCAAAGAATCCTCTCAGAACAGGTCTCAGTGATTGTTGAGTCCAACCCTGCCTTTTTGCTGATGAAACTGAGGTCCAGAGTATTAAGTGCCTTGCCCAGGGTCACTGCCGAGTTAGACATAGAATTATAGTTTCTTATTTAATCGAAGAATTAATAGTAAAGTTAGAGTAAAGTAAAATAGGAAAGTAAAATGCAAATCTTTCCAATAATCATATCCCACTACAAAAAATCCATGCTTCTCTACAAGAGCACTATTGTAAAGCCTTTCCTCTTTCTCTTGGTAAAGATGGGGATGGTCTTCTTAGCGGGATGTGTCTGACATGTGTTGCTCAGAGCACCAATGAAGATAAATCTTAATGTCTTTGCTATTTCGTGATTGGAGGAGCTAGAACTCAACGAGCTTCTTGAGATGTCTTGCAATAGGCTTTTTCAAAAAATTGATTTATTTCTTCTCACAACAAAAGGAAATGGGTGTTGTTTGCATTCGAATTTCATCTGTTGATGAGCATAGACAGGGAACCCCAAAGTTCGTGGAAAGGAAAAGGTACTGGAGTGTGGTCAGATTGTTTTCAAAACAGATATCGTGAGCCCAGGGGTGCTTATTTTAAGTGTGAGGCCTGACCGTAGCCAGAAGTGGCTGAGCCTCTTGCCTTCCACACCTGGACATGACTCCCCAGGACCTGCATTTTGGAACATTAAAAGCAGATGGCCCTGGAAAGTTTAATTTTGCATGAGCCCATATAAGGATTAAAAAACAAAAATGAAACTTGACAGCATGATTATCTTTTTGGACAACAAATGTAAAATCTGTTGCCTTTATCATACAGTACATGAAGTTTCCCACAATCACAAATCACAAACATGAACAATTTATATGAAGCCAGCTTGGCGAGGGGCCAACATTACTCGTGTAGTTTCTCTACTTTTCAAACTAAATAACACTAAAACCTCTAGTTATTTTGTGGGAGGAAGGGAGGGGAGGACAATATTTATAAGCCATCCAGCAGTATTTACTTCTTTTTGGTTGTTCTTGGTTTTTGCCATAGGGTGTGTGTACTCGCCAGAGAACGACAGAGAGGGAAAGTGAGAAGTCACCCACTAGGGGGATGGTCATGCCGCAGTCCCTTATCTTCCATTCTTCTCTTATGATTTTTTGCATGTATTGCACACGCACCCAACATGATTTTTAAACTGCCAGGTCCAGGATTTGAACTGTGGTCAGCTATGTGAGATTCCACCACTTTAACCATCATGCCACTTGCTGGCCCCACAATTTAACATCTTTAAGTGCAGCTATCAATAAATGGTCTCCTAGGGACCAGCAGTTAGCGTAATGGCTATGTTGCTGAACTCCCACGTAGTTGACCGCGGTTCGAGTCCTGGACCCGGTGGCTTAAAACTCACGCCGGGCGCGTGTACGTGTGTGCCCAAGATCCCGAGAGGAAAATGGAGGAGAAGGGATTGCGGCATGGCCATTCACCCTGGGGGGTGATTTCTCGCTTTCTATCTCTCTGTCTGTCTCTGTCTGGCTGGCGAGTGCACGTGCCCTATAGCAAAAAACCTCTCCAAAAAAAAAAAAAATGGTCTCCTAGATTATTATTTTCATCTAAAAAACACCCAAACTTTATATTCTGGGGAAAACAGATGTGAACTGCGTGAAAAGGGCCACAGCACGACTGACTGTGCAGGCTAAGCTGGGGAAGGTGGTGCTGAGTGACCCTACCTCTGCTTGCTCTGCTTCCCTGCAGTGCGTGCCTCCCGATGAAGCCTGCACCTCGCTGGACGCCTCGATGATCTGGGCTCTCATGCAGAATAAGAAGACCTTTACCAAGCCCCTTGCTGTGATTCACCACAAAGTAGAAACTAAAGGTACGTTCGAGAGACAAAGTGTCTGGGGACTGCTTCTTAAGAAGATCCAGTACTATAAATCAAAATCTAGTTTTATTCACAAGGTACATTAAAGGCCAGTTAGTAACTTCAGAAAATGACTTTTTGCTCAAGGAGTCTTTCCTTTAACTGGTTCCCCTTTTGCCCTTGTGGCTGAGTGGTAAGTGATACATTCCAAATGATTTCCTTTATCAAAAATCCAGTCAGAGTCGAGGTTGCCCCTGTTATAATGCCACTCTCCCTTGCATTCAAATATGCTTACTTGGATATGTGAGAAAGGGTTACCTCCATAGCTCACCTGTCTGTGATCTATAGGTAATGGTTGTGCTGGCTGCACACCATTGTAGTGCTTTGTCAGAGTGGCAGCCACCTTTGAGGGGTGCTACATTTGTGAACATTGTCCATTTTAGGTGTTCCAGAAAGAGAGGATTGAGAACCGCTACCTGAATGCATTTTATAGTTCAGTTTTCAGAATCTTACACAATCACATTTGTTGCTTAAAGCCAAGGGTGCCTCTTTCTAAAGGTGCAGAGGGCACCCTTGGCTTTAAGAGGTCAGAGCCAGACCCAGCATAGACCAAGCAGCCACACCAGCAGAGGAGACCTGGGCCCTAAGGGGATGGATTCAGGGTGGATACAAGGTCCCAGGGATCATGGAGAACATCTGACAGGGAGCCATATCACATCTCCAAGGGACATGCCGAAGCAAGGACTCACCAGGCAGCTGTCAGCCTCTGAAGGGTGAACGAAATACCACATGGGATGTGTGGGCAGTTAGGAGTTGCCACTGCTCGGGAACAGCCTATCACTGTCCAGAAGTTTTGCCATCTAAGATGTCACACTGAGAAAAGGTTGGGAAAGTGAAAGTGAATTCCAAGCCTCTAAAGGTAGATATTTAACAGCCACAGCTGCAGGTGCTCCCTACTACCCTGAGGGTCAGAGAGGAGTGGGGACCACCAAGGCCTTGACAAACCAGTGAGCAGCCTTTCTCCAGTAGGTGGGCATTATCCGGGAGACCTGCCAAGTGCTATTGATGGCCGATCTAGGGTTTGGAGCAGCTGGTCTGATCTGAGCATTGTGGAGCTGGGATTTGGAGAGGCTAGGCAACAGGGGTGGCTTTGCGGGGACTTCCAGTTTCTTATTTGGTTAAATGACCTTTGTAAAAATAGTGGTGCCATTCCTGTGGTCACAGCTGGTGTTGGCATCTGTCCTCTTCCTAGGAACATGCTCACCTGGGGAAGACTGGATAATGTAGGGAGGAAGGGCACTTCACGGAGCTGGGAGCCTAGGGTATTGCTCTCTGCTTTCTCTAACTGGTGGGACCTTACCGTGGAGAACTCCCTCACCTCTCTGGGTTTCATTTTCTTTATCTGGACTGGATGACTTCCAAAGAGGCCCTCTCAGATGTAACACTCAACTATGCCATTTGAAGAAGCAAAATATTTTTAATTCATTTCTTGACCATCCTAAAAGTTGGTGTGAAATGTGCCGATCTGATGCTTATTAGTTCCTGAGCAGTGTTTTTGTTATTTTTACCTTCATCGGTTGGTTTTCAACATTTGAAAATGATAACAGACACAGTCTTTGTATAAATGGATTGTCCAAATTATTCCTTTTTATTGGGTTCAGGGGAAAAATAAGAATAAATTAATTGGGTCACAAGTAATCATAACTGGGCAACAGCTGGCCCTGTATAATATATGAAAGTGGCTTAACAATAGCACAGCTCTCTGGGACTCCATCTGTTACTCTTACCTATTCAGAGAGAGGTAATCCTGTTGGTAATTGAAGACAGCAACTTGCTCTTTCTCATGCCAGACAATAATTAGGTATTAATATTGTAGCAGTAAATAGTAGGCCTGGGATTCAAATCTAGGCACTTTGGTTCTAGAGCTTGTGCTGCTAAACTTTATACCAATGGAGACTGATTATAGTTTTTTACACATATATACACACATGTATACATATATACATATATACATATGTATGTATACATGTATGTATATATGTGTATATATGTATATTTATGTATACATACACACATACATATATATGTATACGGATGGAGCTCATGCGCTCCTGTAGAGAGATGTGGGGGTAAGTGAGAAATCCCCCCTCCCCTCTGGGAGGACGGTCATGCTGCAATCCCTTCTCCATTCTCCTCTTGATTTTTGGCACACATACACACCCACCTTTCTAAGCCACTGGTTCTGAGACTCGAACCTCACAGTCGGCTGTGTGGCATCCAGCCGCTTTAATGCCCACAGCAGCTGATTGGCCCAACTGTAGTTTTTAATGAAAGCTCCAAGCAACACAGGCATCTATCTCTGCATCCCCCTCTCCTACCCCCTTCTCTTTCCTTTCTTCATACTGGATCACATCGGTATTCAAAAATATATTGAATGTAATTGTGATCTGAAAGGAAGAGAGAGAACTTTGAATTTTAGAAAAACATCTGAACCCCAAAGGGTTAAGATGTTGGGAACATATAAACCTAAACCGTTTAAGTGAGTATTCAAATTCAGGAGAAGTTTCTGGATTGTAACTCACTAAAAACAGCCCAGAAAACATGGATAGTTTATGCACATTATGGTTTATGGCAAAACAATTAAAATATTTGAGGTGGTGCCATCCTACCATATTTTCTGAAATATTTTGAAGTATAGACTGTTTGTTTTGGACACCGTGACCACTTTTTACAGCATTTGAGTACACTTAGTCTTAAGCAATAAAATTGGTTACACCACATCAGTGATGATTTTTAAAAAAATGATGAGAGGAGTAACCATTTCTCTGAAACTTAGTGACCATACGCAAAGACGTGTGAACATAAAAGCAGTATCCCTCCCACATTTGCCAAGATTTATATATAATGCTTAATTCTTAGCAAGTGTTTGAAAGACTAAATTTCCTCCCCATTTCCACCACATGACTTTTAAAAATAAAAACACCTGCATGTAAATGTTAATTTCCTCTCCTTTCTCTCAACCTCTCAGCCAAACTAGAGTGTTTTTTGGGAAGAGGGGTAGGTTTTGCAAACATCAGTTGGAAGTTAATCCAAGAGAGGCATTACTTTTTTGGAACACATATGATTTTTCCTGAACAAAAATACTCTGAAAAACCAGCTGGGTTTTGTCCTCAGGCTAAAGTAGAGATGACAGGAGTCAGGTAGGAAGGTGGTAGAAATGCCTAATTGACAGATTAAGGCAGTCAGTACCTATCCATTAAGGGACAAGGATATTATGGGGATTTTATTTTAATTCCATTTCTAAAATGCTTCACATTTTAAAAACTTTTTATGTTAGAACATTTCCTATGTACAAACTATATACAAAAATAAGATAGTAGAATAAACTCCCATGAACCCACCATCTCGTTTCAACAAATATCAATTAATGGAGAATCTTACTTTATCACGTACTACAGCACACTGGATTGTTTTGAAGGAAACCTGCACGTTTGTTAATTCATAAATATTGCAGTATGAGCTCTAAAATGTTAAGAACCATCAAAAGATCTAAAGTAGGGTGCTACTGATTAGGTCATTTAGTAAGAGCACTCTGAAAGCAGTGTGAAGTTTGGGTTGCTGAGGGGAGTACCCTATAAAATAAGATATGTATGATATATAATTATGCTTATTTATTCCAGTAATGTTTATTGAGTACCTGCTATATGCTAGGCATGTGGTGGACAAATTATCCTGTCTTTAAGGCTTTTACAATGTAGAACAGTTTCTTCTCTCAGCGTTCTCAACGTTTTGGGTTGAATTACTCTTTGTTTTGGGGGTGGGGCTGCTTGTGCATTGTAGAATGTTTAGCAGCATCCCTGGTCTCTACCCACTGTCAATGGCCACATTCCCCCCTCACAAGACTCTAGACATTTCTAAATGTCTCCTGAAAGCAAAAACTTCCCCAACTCCCCTCGCGGGGTGAGCACCACTGGTCTAGCGGTGAGATGATGCAGATAAGTGACCTGGTAACTGCGAATGTTATAAATATTGAAAGAACTGGAGAAGGGTTAGTTACAGTCAAGTCAAGTTAGTAAAACCCATTTGGAAATGAAGCAAGCATAGAGGTCTCCTGGGTCTCCCAGATGAGACTTCCTCGTCCCATCCTCGCCTCTTTGCCAAATACCAGTAGATGTGGGTACCAGTTTGACGCCTTATTTCCCTGTGGGCCTGCTCAGTCCTGTGGTGTTTAGGAGAATTAAATTGAAAACCGGAGCCCAAAAGCTGTGGTCAGTTACTCATGCATAACCCCGGAAACATCCCGTTTATGAAAAACATGCCTTGCAATCTGAGGACAGAATTTTTGGTTCTAGAGGTAGACCAAAATTTGCTCAGGGTATATGAAAAAGTTTAATTCAGAATGTTGATTATATTTTTTTCTTTCTGTAAAGAAATCTTTATTGTTCAAATTCTCTTTACAGCAATAGCTAGGATTCCTTTCTTACAATCTTATCCTTCAACCATAAGTAAATATTGTTGTGTCCACTCTTTTCCTTTCAGTTTGCCAACTTGATTATAGGGTTCTGGTGGAGATCAAACTATTTTAGTTATACTCAGGGGTTATTGGGGACTTTGAAGCAGGAAAAAAACAAAAACGATAAGTCCTTTAACCTCAGGTCTGTGCTTGTAATTGTTTATGCATAGAAATCGTGAAGGACTGTGGTGTGTGTGTGTGTGGAGGGGTGAGGCAACAGCTGTTTCTGTTTAGCTCTGTGAAAAGGCCCCGTTTGGGGTGAGGGCGGAGGGTTAGATCATAATTTAAGTACATTAAGAATTTTAAAACAGTGCCATCCATCACACAAGCCTTGCTGTAAAACCTAAATTCTTACATGTGAGGTCTCTTTAGGGGAGAATCATTATTCTTAAACCACTTGGGGATCCTGAGTGACAAAGTTTAACCACAGGTGATTGGATGGAACTCTTCCCAGAAGTGTATGTATTTCTTACATGATGCGTACTATAGGGGCTTTAAATGTTTTTGGACTTATTCAATGAGTCAAACTACTACTTCTTGAGAGAAGGAGAATTCTGTGGTTAGATACTCCGACCTCATCAGGTTCTTGGGAGTTTAGAGAAGAGATAATAGGAGTGAAGGCTTTCTGTCATGTGTTAAGCACTGGACAAACGTGCAAATGTAAGGCGTCATCATTATTATTGCTGCCAACAGGGCCGATGGGCCCAAACTCCTGGGAGTCTATTTTATAGTTAGTGTAGCTAGTTTGTGTTCAGTCTATTGAATGAGACTTTCCTAAAAACACACCATCATTTGTATTTTCTTAGTAATTTTATTTAAGTATAGCTTTTACATATGCCGTTATCCCAGGGCCACCATGTTGCACAACTCCAGGGGGCACCACGCAGTTGCCGTAGCTCTGACTCATCCAGTACCGTTCCTTCTCCTGGAGCTGGACCACTCATAGGTCATGCTGCAAGAATGTTATCAACCCAGCTGAGACGATTAATCTTGAGAATTTACAATCCTGTCTCTTTTCACCCTGTGCAGCTTCTTCATTTTTATAAACATCAATGTGAATTCTTGTTTTGATCAAATTTTCATAAATACTTTTTTTTTTGCTTGAATATAAGATACATATTCCTTTTTTTTCTTTTTTTTTAACTATAGGGTGTATGCGCTCAATGGGGAGAGAGGGATAGAAAGAGAGAAGTCATTCCTTGGGGAGATAGCGACTCTGCAGTCCCTTCGTTGTCCTGTTGGGATTTTGGACACTCATGCACGTGCACCCTGTGTGTTTTTCAAGCTGATAGGTCTAGGACTTGAACTGAGCAGTCAGGCAGTCAGCCATGTGGGATCTAGTTGTGCTTCCACCACCATGCCACCTGCTGGCCCAAGGTGTATGTATATTCCTTCTTTATTGAATGAAAATCGAAGTGAAAAGAGAGGTGCTACACACATGTCATGTTTAAACTAAAACACAAGGATCGAGTCTGTGCCTGGGCTCAGCACATTCTTTTCCATAAAGGGCCAGATAGTGAAGAGTTTCGGCTCGTGGCCCTGTCAATCCCTGCTCCAACTTTTTAATGCCACCGTTGCAGCACAAAAGCACCCACAGACAATATGTAAATGTGAATGAAAATGTCTGTGTTCATGTAAAATTTCACTTATGGAGTAAAGTTGAATTTCACATCATTTTCACATGTCAGGAAATAGTATCTTCTTTTGATATGTTAAAAAGTCATTTTAAAATGTAAAATCCATTCCTGGCCCACAAGCTATACGAAGAACCCTGGCCTGCACCCTTCTCACCGTTGAGGATAATGAGTAGCTGTGCATGAGTAATTTCTTAATCAGTGAGTCCCCAACTAAGGACAGAGCAATACTCACTGGTCATTCGGCCTACTCAGAATTCTGATTCAACTCCTGCCCTGATGCGGTCCAGCTGTGACCTTGGGCTAGTTACATGATATCAGAGTCTCAGGGTGCTCATTTGTAAAATAGTGATTAAAAATCCTTTTTCTGCTTCCCCGACAGTGCTGGTGTGAACCTCAAGTGAGATCTTGGCTACGTAGCACTGTTTGAACCCCAAAGCATGACAGATAGGTCAGAGCACACAGACATTTAATGGTCTTGTATGCCTAGTTTCTTCTGTTGTCTCCATTTTCAAAAGCTATAGCCACATTTTAATCATCTTTTGTCAAACATTTCTGGAAGGCCTGTTCTATGCTAGTCTGAGCCCTGAGAATGTACAGATGAATAAGAGCTAGACCTTGCTCTCGGGTCAGGAGAAAGTGATGGTACGCTGCTGCGCAAAGCGAACAGACGAGGGAGGGATGAGCGAAGGTGGAAGAGACCAGCCTCCCTGGGTGGACATGGAGCCCTGGGAGAGTCAGGGGAGGCCGCCCCATGAACATACCAGTAAAGCAGGCCTTGGGAGAGGGGTGTTCCAGGGAATGGCTTGCAAAACATGATGCCAGGGAGCAGTATGGAGAATTTAGGGGCTTAAATACTAAGAATAAGGAGCCAGCATGGTTGAAAGACCACATTAGGAAAGGAGGCTGGAGAGGCTGGGTAGAGGAGAGAGGGAGGACTTTGTGTGCCCTGCTTAAGAGTTTGGATTTTTTCCATAGAAACAAAGAGGAGTCATTAGGTGGCTAAATTCAGGCAATAATATGATGCACTCTGGGCTCTAGAAATTTCACTCTGGGGCAAATGTGGAGGAGGAATTATTTAGGGGGAGGGTGGTGGTGGAGGAAAGGAGACCCCTGTAATAGCACACATGAATGGTGAAGAGGATCTGAACTAGAGGACAATCACATTAAGGATAGAAGAGAAGGCTGGCCAGGTGGCACTGTGATTAAAGCAACTGGATCCCATATGACTGACTGTGAGGTCGAGTCCTAGACCTGGTGGCTTGGAAAATATGCTAGGCTCATGTGCGTGCATGCCCAAAATCCTGAGAGGAGAATGGAGGAGAAGGGATGGTGGCATGGCCATCCCCTTTCAGGAGTGATTTCTCACTTCCCCTCCCTCTCTCTCTCTCTGTGTCTCTGTCTCTGAGTGAGTGCATGCACCTTGTAGCAAGATTTAAAAAAAGAATACATTAAAATAATATTTTGAGGTTGAATAATAGGAACACACTGGAGAAGTGTAATATTTATGGGTATTGGATCCTTTTGTAAGTAGGAATACAGGTATACACTTATGAGTTGGCCGACTCAAATTCCCAAAATTTCAGTGTTTGCCTAAAAACTTTCTTTAAATTCAAGAATTATTTAAATTTAGCAAAGTATAATGCTTAACATTCCTGGGTAACCCATGTTATAGTTTTGATATCTAAAGAGGCTCATTGATAGAGGTTTCACAAAGTACTTGTTAACAAATAGAAAAGTGTTTGCTTCTGCTGAGGTTTTGATGACCCTTTGCTTAAATCTTGATTTCTCTATGGAATGCATTGTAATTTATGTTTTTGTTTCAGAAAAAGGTCCAAACATTAAGGAATCAAATCCAGTTCCTCCACGTAAGTCTTTATGCAACTATTTCAAAATAATGCCTCCTGGGCTTTTGGAAGAATGATTTGGTTAGCGAACTTTTGCCAAGCTTAGAGTTTTGATAAAGAGACCTTTGCTCTTATTCTCCCTTCCTATTTCCCCTTCTTTTCTTATACTTTTCCCTTTCCCTTCGTCCTCCTCTTTTCTCCCCCTCTCTACCTTTTCCATTTTAAAATACTAACTTGTTGATCCATTGGCATGTGTGGCCTGAATAGAGAGGTCCTAACTTAGTCTTAGAGAGATAAGTAAATGATGTGCAGCTGGTATCTGTTGTGATCTGAAAGTATTAGCACACAACTGTGGGAGTGGTTTTCTTTTTCTTTTCTTTCTTTTTTTTATTTGTCAGAGAGCATGTACGTTGGAGAGAGAGAGCAAGTGAGAAAGCAACCTCCCATGGGGGATGGTCCCACCACAATTCCTTTTTCTCCAATTCTCCTTTCTTTTGGGATTTCGGGCGTATATGCACACAGGACTGGCATGGTTTTCAAGATCTGAGACTTGAACTGCTCCATCGGCTACGCAGGATCTACCGTGCCACTGGCTGGCCCAGCAGTGGTTTGCTTTAAGTGTCATGAGTAATAGTTACATGCTCAGACAAGGAGTGCTAACGTAACTAGTTGCCACATCTTCAAGATAATCTCTAGTCTAACACTTGGGGGAGCCAAGGGAGGGCATCTAAGAAAAAGAACGCACCAGTTACTAGAGAATGATAAGCTGGAAACTGTCTAGGCCAGTTTCATCATTTGTACAGGAGGAGACGGCTGACCCAGAGTTCTAGATGATGTTCCTTATAAGGAGGATCTGTGCTTCCTGGAGACTCCCAGGATTAGCCTCTATAGCTGACCCCATCACACACGTGTAATAGTCACTCTGCGGAATGCCTTGTTCCAAGCACTTCATAAAACATTCTCTTCAGTGGATTATATTAACATACTTACTGAACAATACCGTGAGCTCAGAAAGAAAGATCCATGTGGACTAGATTCAACTATAGTTATGTCAATGACTTCGTCTGTCTTAACTTCCAGAGGACTGTTCCCAGTTCCTAGTCCTTCTAGGAGATCCTTACCCTTTTTACAAACTCCCTGCCTTCAGCAGGTAATGCAGTGTTATCCTCATTTTTCAGAAGTTAAAGGAACATATTAAAGGGCATAGGCCAGGGCAGTTGGATCCCACACGACAGTCTGAGTGCCCAAACCAGGGCCTTGTGAAACACACTGGCACCTGTGTGTGCCTGTGTGCAGTGCCCCAGATCCCAAAAGATGGCTCCATTCCCCATGGGAGGGGGTGCTTTCTTCTCTGCCTCTGTCTGTCTTTGCCAAGCATGTGCATCCTCTAGCAATAAAAATAATAATAATGAATAAAGGGCAGAGGCCTAGAAGAGTGGGGACCAGAACTTGACAGTGCGGGTCCTTCTGGACTCTTCCTCTATGGCATACTTTCCCAAGCCCTTGAGTGTGCTGGGGCTGCCGAAGGGCTGTGTTTGTCTACAACTGAATCTTCTACACTGAAGTGAATCAAAAGGCAGAGAGATTTAATTTATATAGAGATTAGCTGGAGCTACTTCCGACGAGAACAGAAAGTAGAAACCGCATTGAAGTAGTGGGGAGTTCCTATACGTTCCGTTTATATTTAAAAAAAACAGAGGCCTGAGACATTTTACCTCTCTCCCTTGGAAACTGATTTTAAGTCTTTTAAGTGACTCAAAGAAGGTCATTCTCTTAAATGGAAGGAAATGTTCTATTTCTGCAGCCTGGAATTAATTTCAAATATGAAAATCTTTGCCAAATGGAGGAACAATTGGTTCTATTTATATGTTTTGCTGACCAGAAAACTTACATTACTCCCCCCTGAGAAGTATTTCCATTCCCCTCATAGAAAGATCATGGTTGAAAAAGTGTTAAAAAAAAAAAAAGTAGGTTGGTTTAAATGACACAATACGTAGTTGTTAAGATTGTGGGTTTAATACACAAAGGTCAGTGAAGTGACCAATCCACAAGAACAGTTTATTCTTATTCTTTGTTTTTCTCTTCCTGTTATCTTTTATACCTGAAAATGTTCACAGAAATACGTTGGTGAAAATTTTAAGTGTGTGTTTTCTGTGCAGTGTCTCACTGTTGGAGGGTTCAGTGAATAAGAGCAGTGAGTCGGATTTGATAATGGAAGTTCACCTCATTTCCTACAGCATCTTAAGTTGTGAATTTTCAAGCCAGCTTCCATCCAAATAAGAGACCATAGACTTAAGACTTAACAGAGTTTATAAATTTGATTTTTAGTTAGTTTGTTGTTTGAAATAAATCACAGACTAGGACTGTCTTAGAAACCTGTTCATTTCATTTTTCCTTTAAGAAGAAATTTGCAAGTGATAAGACACAGTGTAGTTTGTTGAAATCCCCATTACATTCTCAGATTTGATTAGTCGTTGCTTAGCCTGTATGATACTGCTTGTGAATCAAACATAGAGCGGCAGCGTGTGATGCAAACTCACTTAAAGTTCTATCGGTTTTCCTCCTTCATAGCCATCTTCCATGGTCTGGACACCCTAACCGTGATGGGCATTGCATTCGCAGCGTTTGTGATCGGAGCACTCCTGACGGGAGCCTTGTGGTACATCTATTCTCACACAGGTTAGTGCGACTGTCGACTCCTGGTTGGTGCCCCTCTTGCATGCCTGCCACATGGCAGACACTCAGTGTTTCATCAGATGAATGAACGGATGGAATAATGAATGAGAGAGAAATTTCATTCCCTCCATTTTCACACTTAGCATAAGTTGGGTTTTGCAAAAAGACAAGGGGACTTTAAAATTTTGTGGAAAGGGACCAGCAGATAACATTACAGTTACATCGCTCGACTCCCACAGACTTGACCACAGTTTTAGTCCTGGACCCAGCAGTTTAAAACTCATGCCAGGCGTGTGTGTATGCACGCCCAAGATCACAACAGGAGAATGGGGAAGGGTCTGGCATGGCCATCCCTTCTGAGGGGTTATTTCTCGCTTTCTGTCTCTGTGTCTCTCTCTATCCGATGAGTGCATGTGCCCTATAGCAAAAATCACTCTTAAACATTTTTGTGTGTGTGTGGAAAAATGAGATTAAAGTATTAGTTTATTTTGGTGCAAATTTAAAAAAATCCTTGCATAGTTTTTTTATAGTACACATAGTCTATGAACTTTTTGAAGACCCATCACTCATTTATAAATTGCTTTAATCTGAAGTAATAAAGGGATGTTTAAAGTATTTATGTTCATTGCAGTGGTGACATTGGTAACATTTAGCTTCTACTAAGCCTTTGTCTTTAAAGTTCATGTTAAAGATAGTTAATGTGGACAGACTGGACATATAAACCCTTCCTCCAAAGGTAATGGTTTCAGAATGGGCAGGAAGTGAAAAAGGAAGCCATGATTTTATTACCACCTCTGCCAAGGTGTTGAGCACTGTCCACCAGAATCCCTGATCAATAACTTAAACCAGAATGTTTTGACCTTTTTTTAACTGATGCCATGTCTCCTTTCATAAACATAAACTTTTCATATCTTCCTATAAAGTTTTTAAATTTCTAAAATATGCTTGCATGAATCAAAAAGAATGCAATATAGTAACACTAAGTACCTTGTTTTCAAGCTATGTTTTCCCACTCCCCCAAAACAATTTCTGATGTGTCCCCTCCCTCCCCATGAATGCCAAGTTTGAAAAATACTGACCTAAACATAGAACCTGTTCTGACCCTAGTGCAGAATGTCGGCCCAACAGGGCGTGTATGTTACAACGGAGGAGGGACAAAGGGATTGCCCGTGTATCGCTTCCTTCGTAGTCACCTTCTAAATATGAGAAGGAATGACGTACACTTTGAGTAACATTTTGGAGTAAATAATTTTGTCACAGAAATACTGACATGTTCAGATATCGAACTAGCAGTTCTTTGCAGCTTTTTCCAGTCTCCTTCATGGCTGCAGGGTTCTATTGGCGGCCTCTGTTGTCTGTTGGAAATGAACTTGAAAGTACTCCAAGGAGACTGTGTGCCCCTGAGGATTTTAATGGGCTGCTCAGCCACTGACCTTGGTTCTAGAACTGAACCCTCAAGCCCTCAAAGATAGTCTTGGGTCAAGAAACCAGGTCCAAGCAGAGGGGGCAATCAGATGGCACCCCTAGTTGGAACACACCTCACTGAAATCCCCTGATAACCCTAGGCTCTTGTCCACAGCCAAGCACACAGACCCGATCAAAAGTGACGTTTGGTTATATAGCACGTATTGCAGCTGTTGGACTCAGCGAGTGATTGTTACTGATTCCTTCTCCCAACCAGAGACTTCAGGAGCAGATTTTAAGTATTGTTAATGTAGAAATAAGGTTATAAGTAGATGAAAACAAAACAAAACAACTCTTCCTGTGATGCTTTCTGGCAAAACTATGCTGATTCAGAAGCTAACAGGTTTATAGATACTGCTGTTTGGACTAAAAAAATCTATGAGCATCATTTATGTGATAGCTTCAAAGGTACTTTGTATTAAAAGCTATAGCTGCTGGGTCATTTTACAGACCGTTCATTAGGAATGCTGGTGTCATCAAGCACGAAGAAGGGTCACTTCAGGACCCAGTGGTAGTTTCTTGTTGAAAACCCAGTCAGTTTCGTACCTGAGTCAGCAAGCAGCGAGTTCCGAGTCAGAGGGAAGATCGTCATGCAGTGGCCAGTGGGGGGAGGTGGGATGCAAGCACTGACTCAGTCCACTCCATCGCCACGGTAATCTGAGCTGTGGAACTCAGACCTTATATGGTATATTTGGGGGTTCAGACAGCCTACGCCTCTATGTCAAAAACAATCCTTAATTTGGATGACTTTCCTTTCGATTAAGCTTTCCGTTCCATCTGCAGCACAGAGCATAAAACCAAGTCACGTATCTGAATTGCGGCTATTTACATACCTGGAATGTGTGCTAGTCTAAAAGGGCTGGCTTCCCACTTTATCATATGACAAGTCTGGGCACAATAAGATACTTCCTTAAGGCTGTATTAATTCTGTTTGGAAAGCTCCATTCCTAAAATGTACATTCTCTCCTAAGGTGGTACAGAGAGGAGGGGTGGCTGAGAGTGGATATGGTGCTAGCTTGGCACCATAGACTCGTCGAGCTCTTGGGGAGCCTTACTGGGTCAGGGGTCTGGAGCCGCTAGTTATGAAGATCCCTAAAATCAGATGCAAAATTGTATCTGTTCTTCTCTTTTATTTATTTAAATTTGCCACAGGGCATGTGCACTTGTGTAAGAGAGATGGGGGGCCGGAGGTGGTGGTGGTGAGAAAGCCCCACCATGGGCAACGGTCACACTACAGTCCCATCTCTTCCATCTCTCCCTTCTTTCTGGATTTTGGGCACACATGCACAAGCACCTGGCCTGTTTTCCAAGGACTGGAACTGCACAGTTGGCCCGCGGGATCCAGCTGTCTCAAACGCCATACCACAGCCAGCCCTGTATCTGTCATTTTCTTGAGGACAAGGACAAAAGCTTTTATTTTTATTTTTTAGAAAACCTTTTTAGCTTTAGCAAAACAGCACATGCTCATAGTTGAAAGGCTAAAATGGTTCTGTAAAGCATGCTGTGGGAGTCAGATAATGGTGCAGCAGTGAAACATGATGCTCTGTGAGACAGTCCCCCAAGGTTCCCGGTTCAAGTCCAGAGACCTCCCTGAGTACACCGGTCATGCCTGTGTCCATATCCACAGTCCAGGACCAGCTGTGGGTGGGGGTGGATCAGGACACTGTTGGAGGGGCGGTCTCTTCCTTTCTCTGTGTCCCTTTCACTCAAGGAAGAAATAAATAAATAAACTTTTTAAAAAGACTTGATAATGAAAAAAGCAGGCCTCTCTATACCCACCACATTTTCTTACTTCCTAGAGCACCATTTTTTACTCTTAGTTGATTCTTTTCAGTTAATCCATATTTCTTTTCTTTTCTTTCTTTTTTTTTTTTTTTTTTTTTTTTTTGGGGTTTTTT